TAATAAAGACCAAAATAATTAATATGGTCATCCACAAAATTGAAGTGATATTATGTGGTTCTAAGAATAGGATAATAATTTTTAATAAATAATTATATTTATAATTAAGTGCTTATTTGTAAAACTAATTATGTTATTGAAAAAATATTAATTTAGTCTTCCACTTCAACATAATTAAAGGTGTAATTGCTTGGCCTTGAAAATATGAGAGTAAATTTTTAAGAAATAGTTACATTTATAATTACATATTTATTTATAAAAACTAATTATGTTTATGGTTGAGTTACATAAAAGTTAAAAAAAGTGTAGTAAATGTAGCTTTGGGAATAGGAGAGTAATTATTTAATAAGTAAATAAATATATATACAAAATTAAGTGTTTTTTTTTTGTTTTTTTAAAAACTAATTAAGTTTATGGTTGTATTACATAGAAGTTAACAAAATTTATTTCAATATAATAAATGTAGTTTTGGAGGGAAAAAAAATTTTTTCCAGCTGCTTAGCTTTAATATATATATAGATAAGTCGATTAACTCATGGCTAGTTCTACATTGTTGTCCCCGGTGTCACCAACCGAAGTGGTTGAAAAATATTAGTGTGTCGTGATGATAGCTCGCCGATCAATCAAACCAAAAACGTTGTGTGCAAGTACGTGTTCAACAATTTATAATTTTTTAGTTTGTTTGCGACTCGTTAATTTCTTTTACACACACATAAAAGTCTATTAGTCTGTGGTGAGATAGTTCGCCAACTAATCAAACCAAAAATATGTGTACAAGTAAATTTTCAATAATTTATGATTTTTTTTAGTTTGTTTGCTCATGTGGAAATAATGTATTGAAATCCAAGTACACATCCACATACCCCTAACATCAATAGTAGCCTCTTTGTTCCAATCAAATCCAATTAATATTTTACCATCTTCATGTCGTAAATCACAATTCTGAATCAAATCGAACCGAAAAATAAAAATAAAAATCTTAAACACTAATTAACCACACACTTCATATCTAAAGCGTGTACATCCTTTTACACTTACTGTTGTCACCTCCTCAAGTTCCCTTATCTTGGCCTTCACATCAACTCCACAATCCTTTTCATCAATCAATCTCAAGAAGCATAAATGGTGTTTGCAGTAAGCCCCGTTCCCTTCGAACACCTTAAACATCTTCACGAACAAGTCGATCATCACCAGCGAGTCGTAATACTCGTTCTCCCGAAAGTTGAGCAGAATCGTGTGACCCATTTTCCGAAAGTATCCCTGCACAAAGTCTCGAAAATCTGAGGGAGGTTCTTTCAAGACCCTCACCATCTTCTGACAGCTCAGCGCGAAAGTCTTCCTGTTGCTCTTGTCGTGTGGCTCGAGTTTAACCGTAGTTAGCGCGTCTCGAATCGCGTGAAAAACGAGCATCAGGTTGTTGGACTCGTCGTCCGGGTTCCACTTTTTGTTAGTTATTCGGGGCAAGTAGTTTTGCTTGAGCCGGTCGTACCATTTGTTTTCCGACAGGGGCAAGATGGTAATTTTGCCGTCCGGGCGGAGGCTCGGGTGCAAGTCGAGCCCGTACGAGCGGTAGTAAATCTTCGGGGGTTTATCCGGGTAGTTCTCGGGGAACTTGATGTCGAAAAAGAACAAGCAGCCGTGGTAGGGCGTGTTTGGCGGGCCGATAATCGCGGCTCTCATTAGGTCGACTCGGTGCTCGTAGGACCGCGCAAAGACCCAACGCGGGACGTTTTTGGCGAACGTTCGGAGCTCGCATTTCATCGTCGTTTGATGAATGCTCGAAATCGGGTTTTTCCAGGCTTTCAGGTTGAATATGTCGTAGTGGTGGTGGTCCATCGGCGGGTTGCCGAGCTTCACGTCGAAATTCTTGAAACGGTTGAACTTCGCGTCGACTTGGTCGATCATCTCCTCGATTTCTCCAAACGGCGTGTCGGGTTTGCCGATTGTCTCCGGCTGCCGGCCTCCGGTTGCCGGCATGCTGTGCTGTTCAATTGTCTTGTGATGTGATGAACTTTGTGCTAGATTTTGTAGAGTTTAGCTATGGATACGAGTTATGTTTTTTATTACTATTATTATTATTATTATTATTTAAAGATTGTGAGTAGAAGAAGTAGAATCCTTTGCATAGTATACTTCGAGACTCCTAATACGTCTCTGCCTTCTTTAATTAGGAATGAGATGAGGTGGGAATGGCTTAATTAAATTACACCTTAATAAAGCAAATTTTCCAACATCGGTATTTAGTTTTGAGTTATTATATAAACTAGTATTCGACCATGTGCATTTGCACAAATATAAATAAAATAGTGTGAGTTATATGTATGCATATAATGATTAATGATTTTTCTTTCACTTTTTTTGCAGGTCAAATTTATAATTAAAAGAGTTGGAATATATATATATATATTTTTTTGAAATTGCGTTTATCATATTGGATGTAATGTATATTTTGGTATGTATTTTTATTGTAAATTATTTATTATTTATTTAGGAATTTCATATACGTTTTTTATTTTCTAAAAAAATTAATGTAACCACAATAATAACATCTAACCACATTATATGACCAACTGTCAATAATCAAAAGTTTAAAAGGATTTTTGTAATTTTAAAGTGTGTGTTGATTATCTGTTAATTAAATGAAAGGTTAAATAAATCAAAAGTAACGATTTTTGGAGGGAAAATTGTTAAATTGCCACATAGGTATAATTTAATAGATTTTCTTAAATGCTCATTAGCTAGTAATTATATATATAGATTTGCGCGGAATAATTAATTTACATTTAATTAAATTTAGTTATTTTATTAATCATAATTTGTGGTTTAGGTATTTAGAACCAAGTTGAGTTGAATAGTTGACTACTAAATCTAGACCCTCTTGTTGGATCAATTCTTCACTATTAGAAGCCCAATTGCCGAACGTTTTTTAAGGCCTTGGGCCAGACTGATTTTTTTCATTGATGCCCCAATTTCTTCGTTCATTTAATTTAGCCTGTCACATAAACATATACCCAATTTCGTAATTAACAACATTGAGGGAAAAAAAAAAGGCAATTTACATTCTTACCATGCTGGTTGTAAAAATATTACAAGAAAGCTAGATGCAAAACTTTACTGCGTGAGTAAGCAAAACTATATATTTTTTTTGGTACAGGGACCTTCCAGTTTCCGGATCCACAAGGAAACCGACTAATCCGGAATCGAGCCGGGTAGGACCACAAGGGCGGCAAAGCTCTCCCTCAAGAGTTTTAACACTGAGGCATTCCCAGGGCTCGAACTCGAGACCA